AAGTAGTAGTAGTACCCACTTCAGCAGGGCACTAAGAGCACCTGCTCTGTTCCTCACACCAGACAGTTTCTCTGAGTACAAGTACGTAGTGTTCCAAAAGCACCACAGCAGACAAACCCTGAGTCATTTTGTTCCTAAGCATGAGTAGTTTTCAGATTAGACTTGTGGCCAGGGACGCCTGGCTGGCTCAGTCAGTAGAACATGCAACTCTGGATCTCAGGGTTATAAATTCAAGCCCCATGTTGGGCATAGAGCTTACTTTAAAAAAAAAAAAAAAATCCATGGCCAAAGCCACACCAAGACATTAACTCCCCAAAGTCCAAGGTTTAAGTACATTCTTCTATAGAGAAAAGATAAAAAAAAAAAAAAATACATAGGCTAAACATAAATACAGGTCAACCTAAAACCTGCTGAGTCAACCACAAAGAAGCCATGTCTCCAATTAGTTAATTCCTGGACCATGATTTTAGCCAGCAAGGTTGACGTGGCCTCAAACTTATAAGTGAAGGTGAATCTTTGAGCTCTTTCAGTGAGTTCATGTGGGTAAATGTAAATCACAATGAGCCAGAAGGAGTAATTAGATGTGTCTTGGTGCTAAAGAGCTAACAGGTAAACCAGATTCTGGATTTCTTGCAATTATTATCTGCCTGCATGATCAGGTCACATTGTTGTTGGTCTGACAGGTACACCTATGATTTTGTCCTCCTTGCCGGCGTTCCCCTTGATCTCAAGGTCATTTGAACTTCCTGGGACAGCTCCACCTATATTGGGCTCCCTTGGTCGTTGAATCCCCACTACTGGAGCCAGAATTACTCTGCCACCCCGTGCTCCTGGTGAGATGGGGTGGGGACATTACTGCATCTGTGGTAGGAGAAACTCTTCTGGGTGCCTGCCGGAAGGTCCCTTGCTTAGCCGGGTAGAGTGGAAAAGGGAAGAAAGAAGAGTAGAGAGGCAAGCGATGGAGGGTTTGGAAAACTGGAGTACCCTGGCCCACCTTAGTGTTGTCTGAGCAAATAAGGACATTTTTGTTTTGAATTTTGACCCTTTAACAAAGGTAGGAAATTGCAGTAGTAGCCTAAGGAGTCACTCTTGAGTTAACTCAAAAGCATTTTGTTGAGTTGAATTTCTTCCTTTGATAACACTTGGGGTTTGTTTCTAGTTGGCCCAGAAGAGATAAGTTCCTGAAAATGTGTATAGATACCAAAATGCTGGTTGAATTGTTTTTCCTGTGTTCCATAAGTAACATCTCATTTTTTCCCTCTATCTGATTTACTTAAAGGTGTATCTGTTTGCTCTCCCTGTTTTATTTGGAAACATTTATTTATAAAGAATTAAGCTATTCCTAGCATTAAAGAAAGCCTACAGATAACTGCTTTATATGTGAGTGGATTATATTCTATGTGAAATCAATTCTAATATAATAACTTGGTAATGTAGGTGTTTTTCATACCTTATTTTAAATTTTTCATTTTCATTTACATTTTATTTTATGTAATAGTATATATTTAATTTTTAAGGGACTCCATTAGAATTTTAAGTAGTTAAGTAAAGCAGAATAAGGGAGGTTGGGTGCTCTGGGATTTCATGGAGTTGCAAAGATTTTGAGTGAGTTAGAGGATTAGGTCTCTTAGTAAAAAAATTACAGAAATCATAGAAATGTTAATTAAAACCCCAGTGATGTTACCCATGAGATTATAAAATATAAATTCGTCAGATTTACCTGTTGGAAACCTGAAGAATATTCCCTTTAAATTATAAACTTCTTAACCGAGAGGAAAAACAAAGTTACTCATGAAAAGTTAGAAATTAAAATAAACACAAGATCAGAAAAGGAGAAACTATTTTATGGAGATCTGCTAAAGAAGATTAAGAAATGATTATTCTTTCTTTTTAAATGTTACCTCTCTGATGCCTTGAATTTACAAGGCTTTCAGAAATCACTATCATTCATTCGACACCTGGGTTCCTTTGCATTATGGGAATCTGGGTTTTGTCTTAATTTCAATGTCAAACATTGCCAAAGATTCCACTAAGCATCCAAATCTCAAAAGATTGGGCGTAGAGAAGAGCTTGATAAGAACACATTTACTCCTAGGAATTTTCTCAAGTTAATACGTTGTCAGAATTATTACTGCATTACTGATGGGACTGGAAATGTAGCCTGACAATGAAGAGGCTGCTGGGGAAAAAAAAAAGGCTTAAAAGATGGTCAAATGTAGGGAAACCTGGCTGGCTCAGTCAGAAGAGCATGCGACTCTTGATCTAGGGATCTCGGATTCAAGCCCCACACTGGTATAGAGGCTACTAAAACAAAACAAAACAAAAAACAAAGAAGAAGAAGAAAAAAAGACAGTCAAATGTAGAAAATATTATAAACCCTGGAGCACCTGGCTGGTTTAGTAGATTGAGAATGTGACTCTTAATCTCAGGGTTGTGAGTCCAAGCCCCACATTGGGTGTGGAGCCTACTTAAAAAATAAATAAATAAAATATTTCTTAAAAAGAAAAGAAAATACTGTAAGCCCTAAAACAAACCTCAACAATGTTAAAATAATTGAAAATACAGTGTTCTCCAACTATAGTGGAACCAAACTAGAAATTAATGGTGAAAGGCAATAGGAAAATCTGCAAATACACGGAAACTAAACAATATATTTGTAAATAATCCATAAGTCAAAGAGGAAGCTTCAAAGGGAGATCAAAACAATACATAAAACTGAGAGAAAACTGGGGGAAACTTCCTCTGAACATCTGAGACACTCACATACACCTCCCCCACCTCCTGGTTCATGGGATTGATGGCACTGACCAGCCTGCAGGGCCCCCTCACCTTGAAAATGAAAATCTCCACTTTTCTTCAAGTCTGTTGCCCTTGTCTCTGCTACCCAGGCGGCTGTGCTTTGTGTTTGAGTTCTTTAAGTGCACCAGGCGGTTTTTACGATCCAAATTGTTAAAGGTCCACGTTTTAGCGTTTTAACCTGCATTTTTCTTTTTTCAGAAGATAAAATATTATGCTTGCCATGACCTTTCTGTGACCACAGAAAACAAGAGGGCATTGTTTAGAGCCTTAGGTCAGAAGGAAAAGAATAGAAAAGGTGGGGGGGGGAGGGAAGCAGGAAGGGGGCTGCCTGAGACAAATCTTACCAGATAGTCAATATTTTCAGTGTTATGGGCCATCCAGTCTCAGCTACAATGACTCGGCTCTGCTGTAGTAGTGTAAAGTATGCATAGACAACACTTAATTAAATGAATGAGCATGGCTGTGTTCTAATAAAACTTTATTTACCAAAAAAAAAAAAAGGCAGTGGGCTGGATTTGACCCATGGGCCCCACGTTGCAGACCCCAGCTCTTAACTGTTAAGTAGCACGATCTCTGCCCTACTTATGGTTCCTCAGATCCACCTTAGTTCCCACGACATGCCATTCAAATGGCAACTATCATTATATCAGACTTAGAATTTACAACACATCTGCTCTTCATGGTACTTTTTTGAAGAATATTTTATCACTATGTCCGTTTTGGAAAAGAGCAAAATGCGGCTTCAGAGACAGTCACTTGCCCAGAGTCTCATGTTAAAAAGTTCTTTGGCACATTTTAAACTTGAAATCTAACTCAATAAACACCAACTTCCCCATGCTGCCCTTCCATCCTGACGTTGATGTTTTCTCTTGTCCTTCTAGATTGTCTCCCTCCCTCAGTATTCTGTGCCTGGCTTTCTTGTTGGGGAATCAAAAGGAAGGCACCCTGATCTCTCCTTCTGGACCTTCTAGAATCTTCTCTCTGACCTTCTAGAATCTCTTTGATGAAAAATGTTCTTCTATGATGCCTGGTCTCTAGAGGCTGTGGGGATGGACACAACCTAAGTTTGAGTATGGAGACTACTTAATGATTGTCCTTCTTGAGAATGAAGCAGGAACTGTCAAATGCAGGATCTATACACCAAAGGGCCTAAGGAATGTGAGCCTCAACATCAGTGACAAACATTTATTGAGAGCTTATTCCATGCTAGGTGCTGTGCTAAGTATTTTTTATATATTATCATATTCTCAGAACCACACTCGGTTCTCATTATCCCTATTCTACAGATGAAGAAACAGAAGCACAGAAAGCCCAACAACAAAGGATTGATTGTACTGATGATCTTTTTAAGGAGAGCTTAGATGTTCACGCACAGGGAATAGTGCGAGTGCTAGGCAAGAACATAGAACTTTCCAGCCAAAGTAAACTCTTCCTTCCCCCTGCCTTGCTGGAGGCCCATGGATCTGGAAGTAGAGAAAAAGGAAGAAGATCTCCCCAGGGGAGAAAGTGGCTGTCAGAACCCTCCCAAACCCGGGGTCTCCAGTTTTCCCACTGCTCAGCTCCGGTGACCGCATAAACCCTTCGCCTTCCCAATAGGGTAACTACGGTGTGGTATGAGACATTATCTCACTACCCTGCCACAGTGTTTTCCACTGTGATTGTGTAAGAGCACAATCATATTACTTCACCCTCAAAAATTCTTTGTGAGAAATGGTCAGTAAGTCTTCTCACCAAGGGCTAGAGAAACATCATTGGGGTAGAACTCGGGGGAAGGGGGGGCACTGAATGACAACTCATCTTGGTCCGGGGAGCAAACGTCCCATAGACTCAGCAGTCCTCTTACTCAGTGCTCAGATCCCGCTGCTGGAATGAAACCCTGGTTGGTCTTTGCCAAAGGTCTCCATAGCTCCTGGGTGCCAAAGCAAGCTTCACATCTATGAACAGTTGTATTGTTTTTATTTTTTAAGATTTTATTTATTTATTTGAGAGAGCGAGAGAGCACAAGAGGGGGCAGCGGGAGAGGGAGAAGCAGGCTCCCCACTGAGCCGGGAGCCCAACGCGGGGCTCGAGCCCAGGACCCTGTGATCGTGACCTGAGCCTAAGGGCCGAAGGCAGACGCTTAACCCACTGAGCCGCCCAGGCACCCCCACAGGTGTGTTTTCTCGCTTAAATTATAACGATATTCTTTGTGTTTCTATCAGAATGTGAAAAAGACCGACTGGTTCCAGGAATGGCCAGATTCCTATGAGAAACACATCTACAGCTCAGAGGACAGGAATGCGCAGCGGCACCTGAGCAGCTGGGCCATGCGCAACACCAACAACCACAACTCACGCATCCTCAAGAAGTCCTGTCTGGGCGTGGTGGTGTGCAGCCGAGACTGCTCCGCCGAGGAGGGGCGGAAGGTCTACCTGCGACCTGCCATCTGTGACAAAGCCCGGCAGAAGCAGCAGAGTGAGTAGGGTCAGGCTCCTCACCCCCCAGTATCTGCCCTGTGGTTCCCCCATGCTTCAGGGCACCCACCAACAAAACTGCTCCCTTGGGTTAAGGCATCTGACTCAAGGCCTCTGTTCAAAAGCAGATGGGTCACTTAGGGGACTCATATTAGTTCCTCAGTGCACCCACAAAGTCTAGGAGAACGTTGGATTGTTTTGTGTTTTGTTTTTTGGTTTTTTTTGAAGATTTTATTTATTTATTTGACAGAGAGCACAGGTAAGCAGAGCGGCAGGCAGAGGGAGAGGGAGAAGCAGGCTTCCCGCAGAGCAGGGAGCCCGACGCGGTGCTAGATCCCAGGACCCTGGGATCATGACCTGAGCCGAAGGCAGCCGCTTAATCGACTGAGCCACCCAGGCGCCCCTAGGAGAATGTTGTTGATCACACTTGGCCACTTGACATCTTGGGGAATGCCCCCCCCCCCCCCCCCCCCCCACAGAGCTCAGTGAGTGCTTTGGACTGGAGTGGGTGCACTGGGACGAAGTTTGAGATTAGACTCCATTCTGTGCCATTTAGGTCCATACCATAATCACGTTCATTTTGTTTCTCTTTATCACGTTCATCGGATTGTGAAACAGATACATCCAGCATTCCCCATGCCTTGCTCACTTCAGACCTCAAGTTACTTCTTGTTCTTTCCTTGTAAGCCGTCTTGAAACTTGCTCTCAGGAAAGACTCTGGGCTCGGTCATTTACACCTTAATGAGAATTTAGGGGCTACGTACTTTCTCTCCTGTGACTTGGCTCCTTGACCCTTAATTCTAATTGTGAAGTGAAAGAATTCTGTCCACTTCTCTACAAAGAATTTCAAGTCTCAGTAAATACGGAGGGAGGGATTTTCTGCTCAGGAGAGCTCTCCTTTGACCTGTGAAATCACCCACTCTGTAGGAGACCACTTCGTCTACCCCCGTGTGAGACTGGTCTGGGTCGCGTTGATGGCCAGGCCTCCTCAGGTCAAAGGCAATGCCCGGTGGAAGGGAGCCCATAATGCTGTGCCCAGGTCCATTCTCTGCCATCCTGGAGTCAGATGCAAGCTGCCAGGACTCAGTTGGCATGGTCACCTGCCTGTGCTCTCTTACAGGGAAACGCTGTCCCAACTGTGATGGGCCTCTGAAGCTAATTCCTTGCCGAGGCCATGGGGGCTTCCCAGTCACCAACTTCTGGAGGCACGATGGACGCTTCATATTCTTCCAGGTTGGATTTGAGTTAGAGTTATGAGATGCCATTTCTCTTTAATTCAGGAAGTGTGTACAGAGCACAGGGGGACGTTTCGTACAGGAGATGGACAGGGGAACGTACCAACCCTGAGACATGCTCTGGGCAAGCAAATATCTGCACCCACACCTCTGCAGAGGCGCCAAGCACTAAAGCCCCAGGAGGGGAGCCGGCCTACCTCGCCTCGGGCTCCCTGGGGGAGGCAGCTGTCAGTAATCTGATCACACTCAGGCTAGTGCAGTGCTGTGGCATTTGGTCGGCTTCGGCAAACCCAAGGCTGAATACCAGCTCTGACCTCTCACCAGCTCTGTAAACCTTAGCATGTGACTGGACTCCCCTGAGCCCCAGTTTTATGTGAGACGTGGATATGAAGAAGTACTTGAGGGGGCGGTGGTATAAACAGGATAAAGTGTGGCCTCTGATGGCAGACTGCCTGGGTCTAAATCAGTGGTGTGCTAGTCAACCAGCCCTCCAAAAGGAAAATGTCCCGATTGCTAGGGTGGGCCAGCATCTGTGATAACAACAGTTCCTGCCATGGCTCATTTCCAGCTACCAGCCAGCTCCCAGAATTCCCGAATATCCTATAGTTAGCTCTCAGCTTGGCCAGCTAGCTCCAGCATCCTTTGAATCCTGGCTCCCCACTCACTCAACGGGTGCAGGGGGAGGACGTTGCCTGGCTGGTGGAGTCTCCCCATGCTTCATTTTCCTACTGTGGAAGCTGGGGCAGTAATAATGGTGGCATGACTGATGGCGGTGCCGAAGAGTCTGTGAGATCATGTGTTTGTTGCAGCCTCCTCCACATACCGTAGGAAGCACTTCGTGTCACTTCTTATGGTTGTGAGTATGACTTCACCAGGTGGGCGAGGGGCACCATGAACAAAGGCAGGCAGGAAAGCACATGACGGGCCGAAAAGGTTTATGCAGTCTTGTGCCAGTCATCAGTAGCAACACCCAGGGCAGGGCACAGGGTAAGACTTAAGCACACTGTGAGGTACAATCTTGCTATTTATTTTACCTCCTTGTCTCCTGTAAGTCAAAGGGAGAGCACGATCATCCAAAACCAGAAACCAAACTGGAAGCCGAGGCAAGAAGAACAATGAAGAAAGTACACACGGCGTCTGCCTCTGTCCCCTTAAAGCTGAAGGAGAGCCCAGAGACAAAGGTAACCTGTCATCCTGTGTGTTCAAAACATATGGCGACTCACCACCCCTGTGGTGGGGGCAATAAACGTCCCTGGTCCCTTCCCCACCGACAAATGAAGTCAAAATCATCCCATCTGGCTCATCTACAAGGCAGCATCCCCCAGAGAAAAGAAATGGAATCTGGGGTTTTCCTCTTAATTTCTACCATCTTTGTAGCATGCTCTCAAATGCTCTTAAATTCCGTATAATTTTAGAAACATCTTCCCTACTACAATTACAAGGAGAGACTTGGATTAGTACTTAACCTCTATTTGGCACTTTATATTTTGGTTCAGAAATGAACCTAAAATGGTCTCCGCAAAATATTAGCCTTGTGTTTTAAAATGTTTTTTCCAAAATTTCCATTCTTCCCCTAAATAGATAAAGCACACTCTACCAAGATGAAAAAACCAGGAAGTTTCTGAAAACATTGGACACCTGCAGTGTTGGGGGTGGAGAGGCCAAATTGTGATGTGAAATTTATGGCTTTATGGGCATCATACCATAGGTTTGTGGGTTTGTCTGCTTAATAGTGATGCTAATTCCGGTATTTTACTACTGCTCAGTGCTCCGCATTTCATGAGGACAGAGATGGAGCCAGTTCATCCCTAGAGGTTCTAAAAGTGTCTTATGTAGAAAAAAAATGTCATTTGGGTCTGTTAATAGGGACATGTGAGCCCCTGAAACCAAATGGCTGGTTCCTCATCCCTTCTCACAGCCCTGGGACAAAATGAAGGGCATTTCCTCCCACTCACTCTACCTGGTCATAGTCTCTCTACCCCCACCCTCTTGTTACATAAACAAGCAGATCACTTAATTCTCAGCCAGCTTCTTTCCCTGTGAATAACTGGAAGGTAATACGCTTCCTTTATTTGTAGAAATAAATTTGCTACTTCATGTCCTAGAGGTCCTATTTATGATTCAACAAAATCCCCATGAGCTGGAGAAAAACAACAACAACCCTAGTCTCTCAGACTGCAAACAATGCTAAAAAATAGAAAAGTCAAGAAAGAAAATGATGTGTGTATGTGTGTGTGTGTGTGTGTATGAGAGACTGAGTGAGCGAGCAAAGCAGAGATCCACTGAGAGTTATACTGGATATAATAGAAATCTTTGAAGCTGTAGTTTGATTTTTCTTAAGTAGTTTCTTACAAGTTTCTTACAAAGGCAGTTACCATATCAGATTTGTGTTTGAAGATGAAACATTTTAAACACACTCACTCTGCTCAGAGTCAAAGGGGTAAGAGTAACTCAGCTCTTACTGGTTAGTAGGCTTTACAGTGGAAATGGGCGCAACCTTTGATTCTTTCAGGCTTTAAGTGCTTGTGCTGAAACCGTGCTGTGCATTTGTGCTTCAAGTATGTAAGGAATGAGGAAAATCAGAGCACTTATTTGTACGGAGTAACTCTGGGTGCCTGTGGTAGTTGTGTCAATTTGCTTAACTTATTAATGTGAGCTTTTCACTTTCCTTTCTAGTCTCTTCCAGGTGAAACCCAAAGTTGGGGAAGTTTACCTTTAACTTGGTCTTTCCAGGAAGGCGTTCAATTGCCCGGTAGTTACAGTGGACGTTTAATAGCTAACACTCCCCAGCAGAAGTCACTGAATGATTGCTTATTCTTCTCCAAGAGCTATTGCTTGGGGGGAACCACTGATCTGGCAGACACTTCCACCTTGGGCCACACTAAGCTCTATGAGAAATGCAAACTGTCCAGTAGTTGGATCTGTAATAGTGGGGACCTGCTTCATCCTGTTTCTGGAGTCTTCTCTGACTACGATGATCAGCAAACATGGAATAAACACACTGCTTTGGGGAGACATTCTCTTAATGACAACTTGTGTCCCAGTTATCCTTTCCCTCTGACCAGCTGGCCTTACGACTTCTCCCCTTCCCAGAACTCTGCAGAACCCTTTCCCCAGCAGATTCCAGTGGAGCCACCTGCGGCCGAAAGTAGCTGTCACCCCTTATGGCCAAACCCAGGGGGTGATCTTTATGAAGAGAAGATGCATGTGGATTTTAACAGCTGCTACCCTTCTACCACATGCCACTCACCTCAGGAAGACCCCTTTCTCCTTACTTACACCTCCCATCCCCACCATCAGTACTCACTGGCAGGCAAGAGCCGCAAGTGGGATTTTGATGAAGAAATGAGGGGCGTGGGTTTGGATCACTACAACAGTGAAATGCTTCTAAACCTCTGTCCTTTAAGATGATCCAAATCTAAAACCTTGTACACTATTAGCGGAAATGGAATTTAGTGCAGACGCTCTGGAAAATAGTATGGAGGTTCCTTAGAAAATTGGCAGTAGGACTACCTGCACTCCCGTGGTCACTGCGGCAGCATCCACAATAGCCAAAGAATGGAAACTACCTAAGTGTCCATCAACAGAGGAATGGATAAAGAAAAAATGGTTGTGTGTGTGTGTGTGTGTGTGCACGCGCGCGCACACACACACACAGACAATGGACTATTACTCAGCCTCACAAAAGCGAGGATATCTTAACCTTTGCTACAACATGGATGCACCTTGAGGGCATTATGCTAAGTGAAATAAGTCAGACAGAAAAAGACAAATACTGTGTGATCTCACTTACACGTGGAATCTAAAAAAACCCAAACTCATAGAAACAGATCAGGTCGGGGTTGCCAGAGGTGGGAGGTGGGGAGGGGTGGGGGGGGGAATTTGGTGAAGGCAGTCAAAAGACACAAACTTCCAGTTTTAAGATAAATTAAGTTCTGGAGATGTAATGTACAACATGACTCTGGTTAACAGTATTGTGTTGTATATTTGAAAGTTGCTGAGAGAGTAGATGTTAAATGTTCTTATGACAAGGGAAGAAGTTTGTAACTCTGTGAAACAATGGACATTAGCTTATTGTGGTAAAAATTTGGCAGTATATACATATATCGGGTCATTACGTTGTACATCTTAAACTTATACAATGTTATATGTTAATTATATCAATAAAACTGGAAGAAAAAAAAAGATGACCCAGATTTTTTACAACCATTCAAAAAAAACTGTTTCAGGAAATGGCTGAAAGAATTTCTTTGGGAAAGAGTTTTCAAAACATAACCACAGGTAAATCGGAACCATGGCAACAAGCAGAAGGCAAGACTTCCTCACACAAGTAATGTGGGTCCTCCTCCATTCCAGTGCTCCCATCCCTAGTGAGGAATGGAAACTTGTCTGGTCTGTGGCAGGAAATGTCCTCTGCTTTTTCTCCCCCCACATTACTTGGGGCTCTCAGCACCTCCACTGCAGTGTCTGTTACATTGTCCTTGAATCCTATCAAACAGCAGAGATGTGAAGAGCCCACCTACTAGGATCTCAGCTCTGCCTTCTGGGAAGCTGAAGCTGAAGCAACAGGGGTAACGGATAAAAGAGCTTCAGAGGTGTAGAAAGATGAAGATTCTACCACTGAGGTATTTAATGTGTTGCCTAGTATTAAACCTGTGGGATTCGTTCGTGAACTGTGTGTTTTCTGGTTGATGACAAGGACTGTGACCTGATTCCGTCTAAGACAAAGACCAAGACTAAATGGCTGCAGGAAGAAGAGTCCCCATGGTGCCAAATGGCCTCCTGCTCTTCTTCCTTCTCGCTCTTCCTTTTCCTCCCTGCCTTCGCCTTCCACGAAGGCTTAGATTTTTGTTCCATTTACCTTTGTTTTTATAGTGCCTAACTCAGTGCCAAGTTCCTAGTAGGTGCTTAAGAAAAATTAGCTCCGAAAAGTCCTTGTGTAATCAACGTGGCCATGGTTGGCCAGCCATATTTGAATGCCAGTTCGTTGCTAAAGTACTTGACAATAAAAGGTGAGCCTAGACATAAAATCTGGAAAGAACTGTGCAATAAACAAATATTTTCCAAAATTAGTTATTTTCCTTTCTATTTGAAGAATAACAAATGCACATAATACAAAATTTGGTTCCCAGTCTCCTCCTCATTTCTTGTCTATTCTTCTAGAGGTAGAGGTATTCTGTGTGTGTGTGTGTGTGTGTGTGTGTTTGTATGTGCGCGTGCGTGTGCGTGTGTGTGTGTGTGTAATCATACCAGATTCATTTCTAGCATAGCTTTTGTCATTTGAGGACACAATCTGGGCATCAGGTCCTTTTAAGCATATAGGATCTTACAAGCATATAGTTGCCTCATTTCTGTTTTACAGATTTTATTTATTTGAGAGAGAGAGCACAAGTGGGGGGTTGAGCAGAGGGAGAAGCAGAAGCAGACTCCCCGCTGAGCAGGGAGCCCAGCAAAGGGCTCAATCCCAGGATCTGGAGATGGTGACCTGAGCCAAAGGCAGATGCTTAACCAGCTGAGCCACCCAGGCACCCCTAGTTGCCTCATTTTTAATGGTACAGAATACGTTCCATGACTGTATTATAATTAATTTAAATAGTCCCCTATTGATAGACTTTTAGATTGGGTTGAATCTACTTAATTTTTTTTCTAAGTGCATAAAACTTAAATGTTCGGTTTAGCAGAGTTCTAAAGCAAAGGCTATGTAAGCACCCTTCCGGCCAAGAAATAGAACTTCCTGTTAGTTCGGTAAATCAAGGTCCCCTGATAGGAGCCCCTAATCTCACCCACTCCTGATCTTAAACCCTTTCCTGCATTTGAAAGGTAATTGACTGGCTTTTTATATTTTACTACCTTTGCATGTACTACTAAGCAATAGTTTGGTTTTGCCTTTTGGGGGAAACTTAACAAGTAGAATCATATGGGATACTGTAAAAAAGTATTAAAATATAATTTACATATAGAAGAAGGCACAGATCGTAGTCTACAGCTCAATAAATTGTCACAAGCACACATCAATCTAGCCATCACCTAGCATCATATAGTCTGCTCAACACTGTGTCCATTAGAATCAGATTGTTGTGTGTAGTTGTAGTTTGTTATTTTCACCGTTGCATCAAATTATTTTTTCAAGTTTATTTATTTAAGTAATCTCTACACCCAACGTGGGGCTCAAACTCACAACCCTGAGATCGAGAGCCGTATGCTCTACCAACTGAGCCAGCCACGCACCCTTAAATTTAAAGGTCACTTGTGCAGGCATCTGAACAGACATGAACCTCTTACTATTTCCCAAATAAAAGTTTATCCAGCATGTTTTTATTGCTTTGCAGAGAAGAGAAATTCTTTTCTTCAGAGCATAATCACCAAATAAAAACTACACAGTAGACTTAAAATGCACGTTAATGTGAATATTGTAATTTTTTCCTTGTTTTTCAAAGGGATAATTCTTATCATTCTTCCTGTTTCACCTCTGAGAACAGGGATGGGGTAGATTAGTGTGTGTGTTCAACTTCTTTTTGAGATAAAATTGCCCTATGACATTGTATGAGCTTTAGCTATCCATACAACATAATGATTTGATATTTGTGTATATTGTGAAATGATCACCACAGTAAGGTTAGTCAACACCCATCACCACACATAATTACAAGCATTTTTTATTGTGATGAGAAGGATTGAGATCTCTTAGTACCTTGCAAATACATATGGTATTGCTTTGTCTTGTGTGCACGTTTAACTTTAGCTGTAACTGCCAAACTGGTTTTACAAAATGGCTATATTATTTTGGTTTTTTGTTGTTGTTGTTTTAATTTTCTTTTTAGATTCTATTTATTTATTTGAGAGAGAGAGAGACAGAGATAGTGAAAGAGAACAAGTGGGGAGGAGAGGGAGAAGCAGGCTCTCCACAAATCAGGCCTCCACGATGTGGGGCTCGATCCCGGGACCCCGGGATCATGACCTGAGCCGAAGGCAGATGCTTAATGACTGAGCCACCCAGGCACCCTATTTTGTATTCTTGCCAGTAGCGTACAAGAGTTCCAGTTGCTTCTTGACCCATTCTTTTAAATTTTAGCCTTTCTAGTAGGTATGTAGTGCTATTTCAGTGTGGTCTTAAAACAGAAATTTATTGATTTTTCAAAGATTTTATTTCTTTATTTGACAGAGCGAGAGAGAGCACGTGCAGGGCAGCAGGGGGAGCAGCAGGCAGAGGGAGAGGGAGAAACAGGTTCCCCCCTGAGCAGGGAGCCCGATGCGGGGCTCGATCCCAGGACCCCGGGATCATTACCTGAGCCGAAGGCAGATGTTTAACCCACTGAGCCACCCAGGCGCCCCAATTTATTTATTTATTTTAGAGAGAGGGAGGTGGGGTAGAGGGAGAATGAGTGGAGCCTGACACAGGGCTCCAGGTCTCGACTCATGACCCAGAGACCAGGACCCCAGCCGAAACCAAGCATAACCAAGCGTTGGCCACTTAACTGACTGCACCACCCAGGCGCCCCTCAATGTGGTCTTAACTTGAATTTCCTCTGATGACTAATGATGTTGAACTTCTTTTTGTATGCTTATTTGCCATTTGTGTATCTTTGGTGAAGTGTCTATTCGAAACTTTTTATTTTTAAGATTTTATTTATTTATTTGATAGAGAGCACACACACAAAGGAGGGGGAGCAGGAGAGGGAGAATCAGGCCCTGCTGGGAGCCTGATGCAGCGCTTGATCCCAGGACCCTGGGATCATGACTTGAGCCTAAGGCAGATGCTTGACCGACTGAGACACCCAGGCGCCCCTATTCGAAACTTTTGTCCACTTTATTGGGTTGATTTCCCCCAAAAAAGTTGTAAGAATTATATATTCTGGTTATAAGTCTCTTACCAGATATATGTTCTACAGATTTTTTCTTAAATCTTTTGGATAAAAGTCTATAATCGGATATATGTTTTATGCATTTTTTTTCCCAGCTCTTGTGTCTTTTCTGATCCGAGATCACAATTTTCTCCTGTGTTTTCTAGAAATTTTTTTTAAGATTTTTATTTATTTATTCATGAGAGACAGAGAGAGAGAGAGAGAGAGAGAGAGGCAGAGGGAGAAGCAGGCTCCCAAAGAGCAGGGAGCCCAATGCGGGACTCGATCCCAGGACCCTGGGATCATGACCTGAGCCAAAGGCAGACACTTAACCATCTGAGCCACCCAGGCACCCTGTTTTCTAGAAATTTTATTTTTCAACTCTTACATTTAGGTCAGTGTTCTGTTTCTAGTTATATGGTGTGAGGTAAGCATTGAGCTTCATTTTCTTTCGCACATGGATATGAAATTGTTCCAGCACCATTTGTTGAATCAAAACGTAATTATGATCTATGGTTAAATGATTATTCAGAATTTCTGCCTTTATGACTATGTTACAGGTAGACCATTTGGTGTACTATACTTACATTACCCTTTTTAGACAACAGATTGTTTATTCTGCAGTTAATAATTGTCTCAGCTCATCACTTAATTTGCTATATTACTAACGATAGTTTATCCTTAACCGCTGTCCAAGCTATACAAGTCCTTTGTA